AATGATTTGGAACATAAGGAAGAAATAAACATTCAGTCAGAACAAAATGAGAACCAAGATTTCAAAAAAATGAGGAGAGTTTAAGAAGACTCTAGGACATCTCCAAAAGGGCCAACATCCGAATCGTAGGCATGCCGGAAGGGGAAGAGGAAGAGCAAGAAGTTGAAAACTTATTTTAAAAAATAATAAAAGAAAACATTCCTAATTTGGCAAAGTCCAGGAAGCACAGAAGTCCCATACCAGTTGGATTCAAAGAGGTCCACATCAGGACACATTGTATTTAAAATTCCAAAAGTTAAAGATAAAGAGAGAAAATCTTAAAAGCAGCTAGAGAAAGGCAGAGAGTTACCTACAAAAGAGTACCTATAAGACTATAAGCTGATTTCTCAAAATAAACTTTGCAAGAAAGAAGGAACTGGTAAGAAGTATTCAAGTGATGAAAAGCAAGGACCTACAACCAAGATTACTCTATCCAGCAAAGCTATCAATTAGAAATAAAGGACAGGTGAAGTGTTTCCTAGACAAGGTAAAGCTAAAAGAGTTCATCGTCACCAAACCCTTATTATATAAATGTTAAAGGGACTTATTTGGGAAAAAGAAGATCAAAACTATGAACATTAAAATGACAACAAATTCACAACAGTATGATTAACAAGGGGATGTTAAACACAGTGTAGGCAATGGAGAAGCCAAAGAACTTACATGAACCCTTTACTCCTTTCAAAAGGGCATAGAGTCTCCTAAGCTTTGAAAGGAAAGTGGCTGGACATGGACATGAACTAAGCTGGGGATTGCAAGGGGAAATGGGGGAACTGGGTTGAGGGGGACAAAGGAGGAAAAATTGGGACAATCATAATAGCATAATCTATAAAATGTACTTTAAATAAATAAATAAATCAACAAACGACCAACCAGTGCTGGTGAGGATGTGGAGAAAGGGGAACCATTTTGCACTGTTGGTGGGAATGCAGATTGGTGCAGCCGCTGTGGAAAGCAGTGTGGAGATACCTCAAAAAGTTAAAAACGGATCTGCCTTATAACTCAGCAATTCCACTTCTGGGAATTTATCCAAAGAAACACAAAACACTAACTCAGAAGATTGACTTTTGTCAAGGAAGATACAGGCCTAGAATGTGACTACCTTCCATGTCTCACTTTTAGTTAGGAATTTTTATGATAAGAGCATCCTATGTGGTTACTTTAGGTCTCTGAGTTTGTAAGGCCACCATGCAGGCCTCCCCTAAGTTTGTCCAGTTTAGCATGTGGCCCCTTTTTCATCGACAGCCCCATTTTACAGAGCAGGAAACAGAGGTTCAGCAATTTAATAATTGGCTCACGGTCACAGAGCAAGTAGGCTGCAAAGCAGTTTTAAACTCAGGTTTGCTTGACTGCAAGATCCGTACTCATCCGACTCCCATGCATGCTGAAAGGACTTTTTCTGAGCCGGGAAGCTGAAAGAAGGTACGGATTTTGCGAAGTTGTCCTTAAGGACCCGGAATGGGAGTATACCACCAGCTTTGTGGTTTTTTGGGCCACATTCTGCTAAATGACAGTTTTAGGCGAGGTGCCAGGAAGTGTCTGTGTGCTCTGTTTCTACACACAGGGAGGCAAGGATTTTTTTCTTTAACATGTGTTTTGTTTCCCATAGAGAGAGTCCGTTTTCTGACAGCCACTTTCCTTTCAGAGCTTGGGAGACGAATATGCCCTTTTGAAAGGAGTAAAGGGTTCAGCAAGGAAAAGTTTTCTGCTACCTGGTCCCTTTGCAGTTGAAATATCATTCAAAACATCTGCTTCTGTTTTATTTGTTTGCCTTTTGAAGAAAGTCAAGGGTAAATTTGAGATAAATAAGAAGCAAAATATCTTCGTAAAACAAAAACCCCAGTACTCAGCCATCTGAAAAAATTTCTTTAGTTTAAACATTGCAGGAGTGGCAGAAAATCTATACAAACCCCCATAATTAAGATCAGCTAATAAAACCCAAAGGTTCAGAGTTGAACTATTAAGTACTTTTTTAAAAAATATCTATTTACTTACTTTTTAGAGAGAGGGGAAGGGAGGAAGAAAGAGAGGGAGAAAAACATCGATCTTTTGCCTTTTGCACATGTCCCTGACCAGGGGGACCACACCCCCAATCTACGCATAGACCCTGACTCAGAATTGAACTGGCCATCTTTCGCTTTTGTGGGAAGATGCCCAGCCAACTGAGCCGCATCGTTCTGGGCTACTACTGCATACTTTTAGAGTAGTTCCTTCTGGTAGTTTCTGAACTGTTTTTGAAAACCAAGCCCTTGTTGGAGAGGTGATTAACAAAATCATAACAAAGTTGCCACAGAGGACTAACAAAGCCTGGAATTTATTCTGGATCTCGCCCTATAGGGAGAAGAAACAGCTAAAAGAGGAAAATTAAGCTCTGGTGCGCACACTCACGTGCACAGGTGGGCAGCAGCCCCTTAAGTAAAGACACCGACTGGGAATCACCGCCTTTTTCCATAAAAGCAACAATATTGAACAATATAGTTCCACTATCTGAATTTTATTTATGCTCTGGTTTGGTTTATTTGTTAAGTGGCTGTTTGGGGCATGTGGTGAAATTTATAGAGAAGATGTCCACCTGAAGTGTACATTCCATGAGTTCCAGCCGGGGTGCAGACACCTGTGTACTTTCAGCCCTTCCCAAGTCATACAACATTGTCACCCAGAGGCAACCGCTGATCTGACTTAATTAGTTTTCCCGATCTGGGGACTTCATATAAATGGAATCTCATGTGGTTTTTTTACGTAAGGCTTCTCTGACTCAGCAAAATACTTTAATTTATTATCCATGTTGCACGTATCAGTAGTCACATTTCATTTTGGTTTTAATTTGCTTTTCTCTCATGACTCAGAACATTGAGTGCTTCTTCATGTGCTTACCACATTTGTGTCTCTTCCTTTGTGAAGTGATTGTTCACATCTTTTGCCCATTTTTAAAGATTGAATTGTCTTTTTATTATTGAGTTGCAGGTTTTCCTTATACTCATATATCTTCATATAGTATACAGATATATACGAGACCCTCCACCTCCTCTGAGGAGTGGGGCCCCCGTTACTTGATCTTTTTGGCTGTATTTGCCCTCAAAATGATGCCAGGGATTCTGCTTTGTTTAGTACAGTACTATACTCCTAGTGCCTATGACGGCCCCCGGCACGTAATAGTAGTAGCTGTTAAACTACTGGAAAGCTTTTCAGAAAGAAAGGGTTTATCAACCCATCTGCTAGCCAGAAGAAAGACCAGGGCCTGGGACCCGCGATCTAAAGCACCTGTAGCAGGACTAGATGGAGATTATGAACACGTCCTTTGTCCTGGAGTTGATGGGCTCTTTTATACAATGGGCTTGGGGAAGAAAGATGTAAGTTGTTTTGAAAGAATTTACATTGGCTGTGGGAGGGCAGGTAAAGGTGAAATGGGGGCAGTTCCAGGACAGGTGTATAGTCCCTAAGGATGAAATAGTTCCTACTTCTGGTTGACTGTGTCAACAGTCTAGAAAGTTCATACATAAGCAGGATGTGGTGGCATCAAGTGGTTGGCTTTTTTTTTGTTTGTTTGTTTATCATAGCAGCCTCGAAGTTGATTCAAAATTTCAACATATAGTCAGGAGTGTGAGCAATCTTTTGTTGGTTTTATCCTGTGGCTCTTACCTGATTAACCTCCCATGCTCTGGCCTGGGGTGATTTAATATAGGACCTGTCAGAATTTTCTCCTTGTTAGAGGTCATTTACATAAACCTCCACTGAAGGAATGAATGAACAGATGAGCTGACTTTTGAGCTTAATATCCAGACTCAATGTTCTTGAATTTAATGGCAGTGATTAACAAGGATATAGAGAAAAAGGAAGTAATGCTTCCCTTGAGCTATAAAGTACACTTGGCACGAAAGACTGAGATACCTTCAGGGGGTTTGTTCACCAGGGGAAATACTGCTAGGATATCTCGTGAAATAGCTTCATTGGTCCCCATTTCTGAACCCACAAGTGGAAGCCACCACTAACTTGCTACGTTCTGCGACTATATCCCACCCCTTCCAAGTCCTGGGGTCTCACCAGGCTTGCTTACTGGATGATGAGAGAGCATCTAGCTTTGGAGGGTTTTAGACAATCCAGCTGATCCCAGCTTTCAACAGCTTCCTGTCGGCTCCCTCTGACACTGGCCTGACGGGCCCTTCCCTGGGGGCTCTGCCCCTCACCAGCAGGTCTGCCCCCGCTGGTTACCCTGCCTTTCTCTGCACCAGGGGCCGGCAGGGGGCTCCTTCCCCCTTGGTCTGGAAGTGGTTTTCCTGGTCCTAATCCAGCTGGCTCCAGCCTTTCCTGTTGGGGGTATACACTGAATAATCATTGTCAGCATCCACATTTATAGAGACCTTTGCCATTTACAGAGCACGTTCGCATCCTTTACCTCATATAGTTTCCAAATAGTCCTGTTTATATCCCTCTTTGTTGGTTTTTCCCAAGTAAGGGAGCATGAAGAGGGGATTTAATTTGCTCCAGAATGTAAAAGTTGCCCTCATGGAGCCTGGAGTTTTCTAAGACTTTCTGGGTCTTACGCAAAGAGTATCAGTGCTTTCTTCGCTCTGATGGGTGTACATGTGCGGTGTTTAAAGGGATCCATAGATTTTTATAGTTCAGCAACTTGGATTACATCTGTCATAAGAAATTCAATTACCACATCAAAAACATGTGGGTAGTTTCCAGCCTTTTTATTTAACCACCATCATGGGTTCCCTCTACCCTACCCTCCTTGGACCACATGTCACTAAAAAACATTTCACCAAAAACTGCACAATTTAAAATGTCATGGAACCAGAACTTTTACATTGTATCAATAATAATCTCATTCAAATTATACTTTCAAAGAGTCATGATGGGTATTCTAATAGAATTAATGTTACTCCATATGCCAATGATACATATTATGCTTATTATCTTCTTAACTGTTGTACTTTATCTTGTGTGTTTTTTTGTAGGAGAACCAGCAGAAATCCACCAATGTCATCTATCAGGCCCACCACGTGAGCAGGAATAAGAGAGGGCAGGTTGTTGGAACAAGGGGCGGATTCCGAGGGTGTACCGTGTGGCTGACAGGTATGCCATGTTGAAATATATATATATTTTTTTAATCAAAAATAGATGTGTGACACAAAATTTTAAGGAAAAATTAATGTAACATAATTGCATGTTTACTTTTAACATTAGAAGGAGCCTGAGAGCTGGCTGGGTGTTATTGCTAACTCTACCCTCAGTGAAAACTAGGACTTTGATCACGTCATGGAAAGTCTCTAGTTCTCTGTTTTCTCCCCTTTGTCAGGAAAAGATGGGACAAGCTGATGGTGACATTTCCTTTCAGCCTAAGAAATTCCACAATAGTCAATTTTATGCCTAAACACATTTACCAGAAGTTATGCACAGAGCTTTCCTAACTTGACATCAAGCGTTTGGCATCAAGCATAAAGTTTTGGATGTTTAGAGATATTGTTTTCTGATATTTTAGCATTCTAGGAAACTATTGTACTTAATGTAAAAAAAAAAATTTAAACTCTCTGCAAGAAGGAAAACTGGTGATTTCTATTTACCTGACGATTGCCCTTTGTATATAGAAATAACTCACTCCCACTGAGGTAACCAAATGAATCTCCCTTTTCTTGTGTTTTTATAGCCACAAAATGTCAAAGCTAGTGACAGAACTGGAACTAGTCCTGGGCTGTTACCTCATTCTTTGAGTACAATGTAGAGGATGTTGATTCCTGGGGAAATCCTGAGATAGCCTGTATTCAAAAGAAAAAACTATGTTCATTTTATAGCCATAATATTTCAAGTACAGACGACCCCAGATGCAAAGATATGTTCATACAGGTTATGAAATCAACTTATGTGTTATTATCTATTCAAAAATGCTGAAGTATTTTTATCTGAAGAGAATTCTAATGAATATGGCAGGCAGGGACCTGCATTGCCTCTTCTCTTGATATCCTGAGTGTTTTCCATTTGTGTCTAAATCAGCTTCATTCTTCTTTTTCAAGTTTTTTTTCCTAGTGACTTTGGCACCTGCTTTTGGTCTTCTGGTTTCATTCCTCCCTGATCCAACAACTTCTTCCAGCTTCCAGGGTGAGGATAGACAATGAGCAAGGAGCCTGCCATGTTCTAAAAGGCAGTATCCACCTATCGTGATTTCTGAAATGTTTTCTCCAACTTCCTCTTGAGACATGATGGGCAGCAGTAGATAAAACACAGCTGTGTTCCAGATGTCTCTCTCTTGTTATGGCTTATCTTCATGAGGTGTTTGCCTTCATGTATTTGCCCAAATTTTATTGGGACATCTACACAGAGTCCATTTTTTCTAATGTGGAACACCCTTGAAAAATGGAAAACTGGTAGAAGAAGGGAAAATTTTTAAAAACTATACTTCCTCTGTCTTACTCTTAGAAAATAATACTTTCCTACTTTATTTTTTTATTCTCATATTGCAGAGATAGGATATTGACCAGGCCAATTAGAAGAAACTAAATACTTCTAGTCCAGAGACTTGGATTTGGGCCCCAGCTTCACCTACATTAACTGTGTGACTTTGTCCAAGCCAATTAACTCCTCTCTAAGGAATGACACAGTATTTCCAAACTAAATGAAATAGAATAGATATGCACTTAGCACAGTGCCTAATCCATGGTAAAGTTCTCGATAAGTGTAATTAGTGTTACTTCACTGAAAAAAAATAAATTTGGCAACAATCTAGTTTTATACAGTTACTGTGATTTAACTTAGTTTCCTGAGAGCTGAAACAAAAATCAAAGGAAATTTCTATTATTTCTCTCATTTTCTGATGGGAGAGAATATACCAGAGATTCGGGAGTCCCATTTCTCCTATCCCACAACCAGACAAAACTTCTAATAGACAATGAGTTACATATTAGACAAAGTTACCTAACAGACCATATCTTTAACAATGATTTATAGAGATTGCCAACACATTCTTCATGTAAACACTTCTTCTAATGATCCTTTGTCAACACCAGGGGCATGACTTTAAAACATAACTGAAATATGGAAAGTATTTGTTTACCTTTCATATATCACCTTTCTTCCCAAGTCTCCTTTTCTCTCTGTCCCTGTCCCTACTTTTCTCATATTTTTTTCTTTTTGCCCTGTTTTTCACCTGCTATCATCACTGTAGTAGCCTCTTGACCTTCTTTTCTTTACCCCTAACTTTTCCTCTTCTATACCTGGGTGCTGTCCGACCGTGGCTTGGCACGATGGAATATTCTTCAGATTCTGAGATCTCTAGGACAACTGAGTTTTTAGAGTGCTACTTTTCCAGGGCAGTTAATATTTTGAGCTCTTAAGTAATTTTGGAAGGTAGCATTTCTTTCCCTTTCTCCTTATGTTCTCCTTCATACAGAAATTATAAAGCATGTTCCCAACCATTGTGCTTTGGAACCATGGTAAAAGGTACCTGGTAACTCTGTTCTCTGGTAAAGTCTCCAAACTCCTAAGAGTGCATGACAGTTCTAAATACATCCACAGCCTAGCTCAGGATGCTTCTCTGCCTTCATGTTTTGAAAGTCATTTTGGAAAAATTCTGAAAACAAAGGACAGTATACGGGCTCTGTTGTAGATGGCTGTTTAGCGACATATACAAGGGATGTGGGCCATCCAGCCTGGCTGTCTCTTCACTCTGGCTGATTATTGTCACAAGAGGATATGAGAACATTCTTACCAGGCCTTCTGTTGTTGTTCTTGTGCTTTTTTAATTTCAAGCCAAAATCTGGATTTCTGTGTGTAACTTTCTAATATTTGAAACACTCCGCAGGCAAAATAGAGCATAGCAAGAACCAAAGGCAGCCCCGCAAGGTTTCCCCATTTATGAACCTCCCTTGCTTGGAAAGGCTATAGTCCAAATAAGGAACAAATAGTTCTTTCAAGACTTGAAACAAACGCAAGTACTTGACTTGTAGTAAACCATGCTTTTTCTAGATTTTAAGGGTTTTCATTTGACATCAATCAAATGATTGTAATGAGGGTGTAATTACACTTCAATTAGGTAAAAATTAGGATCAGGCCACAAGTAAGATCAGGTTCCAATTTGTCATTTTGAACAATCAGGGACGATGCCTGTCTTGTCTTGCCTGTTCTGAACAGGTCTCTCTGGTGCTGGAAAAACCACGATCAGCTTTGCCCTGGAAGAGTACCTCGTCTCCCACTCCATCCCTTGCTACTCTCTAGATGGGGACAACGTCCGTCATGGCCTTAACAAAAACCTTGGATTCTCTTCCGGAGACAGAGAAGAGAATATCCGCCGGGTTGCCGAGGTGGCCAGGCTGTTTGCTGACGCTGGGCTGGTCTGCATTACCAGCTTCATTTCTCCTTTCACAAAGGTAAACCGACTTGGTCCTGCACTTGGTTCTCACATACCGCCTGTGCTCAGACTGCCAGGGAAAGGAGTGGGGAGGAGGGAAGGGAGCAGAGGAATGTTAAATTTTCAATTTCCCCCACTGTTTCTTCCTCCCCACACTTGCTTCCTCATTTCCTCTACTTAATAAATTGTTATGTAAAGAGCGTTCCTTCATTTCCAGATGCCAGGGCACCAGATGACATCAACCGTTCCACATTCACAATTGTAAGGTACACTTGGCCAGAGCTGAAAGGAAGAAAAAGTTAAACAAGAAAAACCCTAAAGCTCCATAATTTCATTTCACCAAAAACTCAGAATGCTTGGCTCGCTTAAAGGAAACAACAGTTCACTTCCAAAGCACCAGGTTCTGGGTGTTTAATGTTGAAATCACTGAGATCGAGTGTCGCTCTGCTTGTTTTAAACAGAGCATTTCTGTGAGCTTCAAATAAGATGCCTGTACTTTGAACATGCCTTTTGAATGAAATGCTCCCCGGTTGCCAGCCCTGAACTTTAGCAGAGATTCTTTTCCATGGTTTTCTCTGCAAGTCCTTGAGAGAGCGGTGTTTATTAAAACAAAGTTTCTGGACTTTCTCTGAAGTTTCCTGCCACCTCTGCAAAGCACAGACCCCCACTGTTATCTGCAGGCTACAGAGTATCAGAGTATACAATGTTTTATGATGAAGAATTTAATTGTGAAACCTCTTCTTATGTTCTTTTTTATTTTTATTTATTGATTTTTAGAAAGTAAGAAGAAGGGAGAGAGGGAGCGAGAGAGAGAAACATCGATTTGTTGTTCCACTTACTGATGTGTTCATTGGTTGACTCTTGTATGTGCCCTGACCAGGGATCAAACCTGCAACCTGCGTGTATAGGGAGGACAGTCTAATCAACTGAGCTACCCCTCCAGAGACTCTTCTTACGTTCAAAAGCATAATTTTTTTTCCAGGATCGCGAGAATGCCCGCAAAATCCACGAATCAGCTGGACTGCAGTTCTTCGAAATATTTGTAGATGCGCCTCTAAATATCTGTGAAAGCAGGGACGTAAAAGGCCTGTACAAACGAGCCCGAGCAGGGGAGATCAAAGGTAGGAAAAACAGCTCAGTGGCACCATTGCCACTTATGTAGGCCACCAGTCCTTCCTGGTCTGTCCCCCGAAACCTGCCGGAAGTTTCTAAAGCTGTTTTCCAAAATTGCATATAGCATACGCAACTTTTTATCCCACCATAATACCTTCAGTATGTCCGTGGGCTTAATAAAATATTTTTCAAGAGCTGTCGCCTCAGTGATAAGCAATAAAGCTCAGGGAATTAATAGGGATGCATATAAGTGAGCGAGCATGTAGGTGGAGTGTGTCTGAGTTTCTCCATATTCTTGCTTTTTTAAAATTCTAACCAACTGCAGGGGGCTTGGACTTGGCTAGCCAGATTTTATGGATAATTCGAGGCTTTTTCTATTGAAAATACAGCTGTATATTTTCTCATATACAGATAGAGGTCAAGGATGGCGGGTTGACCTTTTCCGTTATAATCCAAATTCTCAGTTTAACACATTATTCCAACATCTATTATGCCTTCTTGATTTAAAAAGACAGTTCTGTCGGGGCAGGTGTGACTTTAACCCTTCTGCTTTGCAGGATTTACAGGCATAGATTCTGATTATGAGAAACCTGAAACACCTGAGCTTGTGCTTAAAACCAACTTGTCCTCAGTGAGCGACTGTGTCCAGCAGGTAGTGGAACTTCTGCAAGAGCAGGTGGGTATATTGGTTGTCTTTTCTTTCTTTTTTTAAAATTTAATAAAATTATGAAAGATCATCTGTTTCTAGTTTTTATTTCAAATTGTACCAATTCTGCCTCATTGCAGAACATTGTACCCCATACTGTAATCAATGGCATCCATGAGCTCTTTGTACCAGAAAACAAACTGGACCAAGTCCAAGCTGAGGCTGAAGCTCTCCCTTCACTGTCAATCACCAAGGTAAGAGGGTGCAGACCGGCCAAGGCAAATTAGGCTTAATATTAGTCATTATGTTCCATTTACAATGGCCCTTAATAATATGGAAGGTATGAATAAGGGAAATGCAAAGTTCGTAAAGAAAAATGCTTCATATTTTCAATTTTTTAAAACCTCTTCTCCAAACACATCTTTCACCACCTGTCACCAAGAGTTGCCGTGGAGTAGGCGATCAGTGCTGTGTGCAGAGGCAGACCAGGAACGTAGCATCTATACTTCCATAGGACAATTTTATATAACTGCCTTCATACTTTCAGTCATACCAAGCTGTAGGCAAGAGCTGTTGGCAGCTGCTGGAGGATTGTTTGTCCTGAATATAAGAGCTTCTTGGGCAATTGAGAAAGAATTTGGGGAAAACAACAAACAACCTTGAACTAAAGTAATATGAATGCCTCAGTCTTTTTCTACTCTGCAAATCCCATTGTCCCCTCACTGGGGACCATCCAGTCTTAGGAGAGAGGGAGACGGCTTTAGTTGCATTTATTTTATTGCCTGGGAGGTACAGATCCAACCCCAGCTGATTGTGCTGCGTATGCCTTGACCTTGTATGTTAGTTGGTCCATACAAGTCGACCATGTTTTCATTGGTATCTTTTTATTATCTATTAAAACCTTTGCACATTTTTATAAGAGACAGAATGAATTGAGAACCTGCTTCAGCCCAGGAAGACCCAATACTCTAATAAGTCATGACAAATTTATAGACAGAACCCCTGACTCTACAAAATAAAATCTGAGTGTTCCAATGCTCCAGGCAGATTAGAAACATAATTGTAATTACAGGGTGAAATCATAGTTCCAATAACAAAGCGGACTTTAAGGTTTAAAAAGAAACCTACAAATAATCTAATAAGTAATTATTTTTAGTCCTAGGGATGATAGGAAAGGGTTCAGAGCAGTGATCCAGGACCTGGGTTTTAAAGGACGAATAGTTTTCAGGTGGGAAGGAGGACAGGCCTGAAACCACATGTGTGTATAGACTATCCATTGGCTGGCATTGTCGGTGAATAGGCTCCCAAGTGGGGAAAGGGAAGAGGTGGAAGTCTCTACATAAGCCCCCCTGGGCTGGAGCTTGAAGGGCTAGCAATATCATGCTAAGAATTTTGGAATTTTATCTTAAAGTCAACTAAATACAGGCGGGGAGGCCAAAAAAACCAGAATTATTTTCTGGAGTGCAGGCCCCTTGTAGTACAGGCTTCCCTCCACTAGATGAGTGTTCTAGGAACCCGTCTGTGTCCGTGGACCAACTGGTGTTGCTGTGAGGGGCTGCATTTGGCTTCAGTGAATTGTTTTTTTTTAAGATTCTTTCAACACACTTGCCCATTTCAGGATGGGTGATTTACAAGTGCACCTGCACACATGGCAGTGAGTGTTCAGCAGTTTTTATCCAAAAACAACATGACACTCTCTCTATTCACTCGATCTTGCCCCAAGCAACCTTTTTTTTGGTTTGTTTCCCTGGATGAAAAGAGCCCTCAAAAGGAAACATTTTGCCAATGGGAAAGAGGTGAAACAGAAAACGGCAGAAGCACTGAAAGGCATCAAAATCAACAAGTTCAAAAACTGTTTTGAGCAGTGGGAAAAAAAGTCTCAATAGGTGTATTGCATCTAATGGAGAGGATTTTAAGGTGACTGAGGTTTAAACGTGTAAGAATAAATACACAATTTTTTATAAAGTAATTCCATTTTTCAGGGGGTCCCCCCTCATAGTATACTTGGTGAAAAAATGTAGCCAAACCAGAATGTCTGTAGAAAGAAGAAAAAAGAAAAAAAGAATGAACAGTGAATGTCCAACACAGTTGCACACCATAAGGATAGATACAGCCTGAAGTGTTCGGATAAATCATCTCCACTTGAAATCTTTTCACCACTCCGCGTATGGAAGTTCTAGACTCAAACTTATCTGGCTCCAACATATGGGAACACTAAAAACATGAAAGATTCTGCCTTCATCCTCCCGTCAACTGAATAAGAAAGGACTGCCCTGGAGCCAGATGGCTGAACAACAGAGTTTATGGAAATGTTCACCTGCTTTTCCTATTTTGCAGCTGGATCTTCAGTGGGTCCAAGTTTTGAGTGAAGGCTGGGCCACTCCCCTCAGAGGTTTTATGCGAGAGAAGGAGTACTTGCAGGTTATACACTTCGGCACCCTGCTAGATGGTATGGGTATTTTTTTTTTGTTTGTTTCTTACTCTTTATTATCATTTTTTTGTTATTTGGCCAATTCAATGAAATTTTCCAAATCATACCAGTTCTATTATTCTTCTTCTTGATCGGTGCATTCAAGACAACAGCTGAAGGACAGCTACCATACTATTAGGGAAAGGGGCCTTGCTCTGGACTCAGAGATCCTAGCGTTCACAACCTACTTCGGCCACATATTCTTGTGGCTTTGGAAAAGTCACTTAACTTGTTAGAACTTTAGTTTGTGTGTCATCACTACCCTGCATTGTATAATTAAAGACTGATTCACCGACTAGATTTCTAGACACTGTACAATTCCGACTACTGATTTTGCTCATTTCCTCTCTTTTCTGTCAACTTTCCATCTCCAAATGGTTCAGGGCTTGTTCAAGGTCGCATTACCCAGCCTCCGGACTTCCCTTTCTTTCTACTCTTTATTATTAAAGAGAAAAATCTTTCTCAAAGTCTTCATAGAAGCAAGAAATGCCAACCTTTGGTTTATAAAACTTACTGTGAAAATACTTAGATCACTTATGGCATGTCTGATTCTATTATGTATAAGCTTCCATTTTAAGGATTTTTCTAATTATCCTCAAAGGATTATTGCTTGTTTAAAACCAAGGAACTAAAGGGTTTCCTTGCACATGAAGCCAAGAGATAGTTAAGTCTATTTCACCTCCACCTGCCCATCGTTGGCCCTGGACACTTAAACGGTGGCAGCAAATAATCAGATGCTTACCATCTGGCCAATGAGGATGATTCAACACACAGTGCTGGCCTGCAAGGCACCATGTATCTTCCAGGTTGCTCTGTCAAGCATCAAAAAGCAGCTGCTTTCCTTGGCAGATGCTACAGTGTCAACATTCATGCGCATACATGAAATACAGGGTCCGGCAGAAGTAACACCCGCTTGAGTGTGGTTGGTAGGGTAATAATATGGGTGTAATAATTTATAGTTTTAATTTGAACATTTCACCTAAAATGTCATATGGTGTGTTTGAGTGTGATATTGTTATGTTACAGAATTACATGCTTATGATTTTGTAATAAAAAAATCAGGGGCATTATTTGTGCCAGACCCTGTACATTAGGATGGCTTCATCTATTAACCCCTAACAAGGGGGCATTAAGGCAGCTTTCTGGGCACAAGCTGAATAGCTTTCAGAGTACTGATCTGGTCAAGGTCGGAAACATGTGTTATTCAGAAAGCTTCCGGACCCTTCTATAATCATTTCCTTCCTTGAACTGCCTGAGCTTATCAAATGGAACTTGCCTGTTTCAAGACTCTGGAGGACGGCTGATAAGTGGGACGGATGGTGGTAGAGTCACTCTGAATTGTGGTAGAGTCACTCTGAACTGTGGTAAAGTCACTCTGAATTGTGGTAGAGTCACTCTGAATTGTGGTAGTCACTCTGAATTTGTGATACTGAGCAGGGCTCGGCCTTTTAGGAAGAAAAAAATCAAATCAGATGTTCTTTCTTGGAAAGGATGTTCATGTTCTGGGCTTGTGTCTCTGCCTGGGGAATGGGGCATAAAGCCAGAATTAGAGGTCAAAAGAAGACTCTGGTCAAAATGGGCCCTCTCCCCTCATTCCTTTTATCAGCTGTTCCGTTACCAGCTGTGGCTGATAGTGCCCCCAAAACTGAGGCCTTCATTTCTCAGATGAAATCACATTTCAAAAACACTTGATTTTCTTATAGTTTACCTTAATAATTATAATGCATATTCTGTGCAGCACTTCACTGTTTGCAAAGCATTTTCTCAGGCGTTATTTCATTTGATCCCTCATGGATGTCCTGGAAGACAGGCAGCTATTTTATCCCACTTTACAGATGAGGAAAATGACCTCGGGCTAAGTACTTTGCTGAAGCTCACACCACTGGTAAGTGAGGGGCTCAAGGCCAGAGACCAGAGTCTCCTGACTGCCTGCTCAGGGCTCTTTCTGTATCTGGCTGCTCTCTGGATGTCCTTTCCAATAGAAGTTAGTAGGTAATGAGGTTTGTACAACAAACAGTTACAAGCTGAACCTTTACCTCGATGTTCTAATTGCAACATATGCTGAACACAAGCTGCGTGAACTCAGCAGCCAGCCACATACAGAGGTTGACCATGAGCATACAGACCAGAGCTGTGGCCAAAAGAAAAGTGAGCCACCTTGAAAGTAAGGACCTTATTACAGACACAGTACTGTAACTTTTGCCTAGTATTTGTTCTTTAAAGGAAAATACCAGGGAGGGGGGTATGGTCACAGAGGTCAATGTTAATAGAAGCCAGGGGTTCTTAACTTAGGGTCTAGGACTTCAGGATGCGGGGACAATAAAATCCTACAGTAGGCAAGTAGTTTATGTTTTAAGAAGGAGAGAAGGGGGCATTTTTTTTTTCCTGGGCATCCTAGATTTTGATGGATTCTAAAAGGAGCTTATGATCCAAAAAGATGAAGAACAGCTAATGAAGATAATCCATCTAGATAATTTAAGCAAAATCTCTTACCCTCCCTCTCACACCATTTTGGTTTCATTTTATGGGGTTCTTCAATTTGCAAGGTATGTTGCTTTTCTTTTTCTCATGTTTCGTACTACCATGAGGTAGGTGAAGCACTGATGACTGCTCTCCCTTCCCGTGTAGTCCAGGCATTTATCACTCCCCTCCCCCAAGCCCACCGGTCTGGGGATACGAATGAGGTCACTTTGCATTAATACTGAATCCACTAGTTCCCAACCCCTCCCTGCTCATACAGAAATCCCCGTTCTTCCCAAAACCTACCCCTAAGTGTTTGTAGGAATTCTCAAGGGCTATTCCCCGTGCTCCAGTGTTAGGCCCACAGCCATGTGCCACTTGCCACGCAGATCTCTCTGTCTCTCTGCACCCACAGAGGCACAGATCCTACCCATTCACTCCAGCCACCACTGTCCTTGTACCCAGAGAGCTGTGGAAGTTCACATACATTCTTCTCAAGTGGGAAGGACCCTCTTAGGAGGTTGCTTATGTCCTACGGTGTTGAGAATCGAGTGAAACAACTCTTGCAATCTGTATACGCCTCTTTATTCTCCTGTGGTTGCCAGTGTGGCTATGCTGGGGGCAGGGTAAGACCAGATGTCATGCTATTTCCATAATCTGCACCCACTTCCAACCTATAGGCCTATTTCTGGGCCTCTGTGCAAGACTCCCTTTAGCCCTGTGCGAATTCTCTTCTCGCTTTACCATCTGCCGCTGCAACCAGAGTCCACTGGACATGGCTATGTAACCCCAGCTGTAGTTAGGGTTTGAAATTCCTCATACCCTTTAGGAGTCTCCTCAACTCCTATGGAAATTGGTGAATAAAAAGAGATACCAGAGAAAATATACCACTTGTGGTCTTGATTGGTGGCCCCTAGCAGGGTCAAACCATGGCAGTCTTGTGAGGCTCGATCATTTAAAGCTGTCTTCGGTGGCTCTGAATTTTCAGAGCAGGGCTTGAGGGCTTTCCTTCTGTACTGCCAGCATTTATTTAGCATTTAATGTGGTCTGACCGTGGCTTTTGACATCGCACATCATATTTGATCTATATGATACCACTGTGAAGATATGCACATGAGGAAATAAGAATTGGAAAGATTAAATAACTCACTTGAAGTCTTGATTCAAATACAGGTTATCCTGGCTCTAGCATTTGTGTTTATTTTACAGAACATATTTTCACATCCTCTAAACATCTGGGATTCTAAGATGTTCTAGAGAAGTTTGTTTCATTATCTTCTCCCAAAGCGTGGTATAGAACTATTTGCAATACTTACACCATCACATATTTACAAAAGACAGTTTCTTTCCAAAGTTGGAGAAGCCATTGACATATGTTAAAATTATTTTTAAAACAAATAATCATCTAAAATAATGCTTTTGAATTGTATTGAATAATGTCTAGTACAAATCTGGTGTCACCAAGTTTTTGCTATTATATATTTTATTTTTTCTAAAATAAAAGTAGCAAAAAGCTCAGTACATTTGTTTGTTGTATATGTGAAGTTTTATAATAGGAATTTGTTACTTGACATTGCTTGAAGACTATTTTCATAGAGAGCTGAAAACATGTTTCTTAATTGTGTTTGCATTTGTCTAGATTTGGTCCTTTCTGGTAGTACTTTAACTTTCCAAGTACCTCTTGGAAAAGGGTAGTTCAATTATTGTAAGTAGATATTTTATATTAATTAGAAATGGTTGACAACCTAACTACAAAACATCCGGATGAACTGGTTGGAATTACTTACAGTTTGTGATCCAACCAGTTATAATAAAATAATGCTATGTTCTTCTTTTGACTGGAGTCCAAACAACAGGAAATTTCTGGATCAGATGCAGCTGTTGTTTATAATGTTGCATTTGGCTGACAAGAGTAAACTTGTCTCTAAATTCTTGCACATTTTGTGTCTGAGATTTTAAGTTTATGATGTTCTCCATTACTTACTTCTTCTGAGGTTGGTCTTTGTTTAGTTTCGCAAATCTGGAAATTTTTTTCAATAGAATTTATTAAACATTTTTAATTGCAGAGGGACAAATCAATTTTAGATGCAATTTAAAGTGGATGCTCCTGGTTGGATTTTGTGATTGTACTTCACTTGTTTGTGATGTGTGATTATGCATGAACTTAATGTTAAGCTCTGATGCTTGACAGTTACAGAGCTAGGCATAAACTCATACTTGCTGTGACTGTTAAATGCTCTGTACCAGAATGAAAAGGTTGAACTCTGAAGATATTTATCTTTGGCATTGTTTTCACCATTGTTGTTTTTTCTTTAAAAAGCGGAGGTAAGCAACAAAAAGCAATTTAGTTTCTTTCCTAGAAACAGCCCCAAACAACTGGTAAGCAGATCTACAAGGATAAAACAAAAGGCTTGAAAATTATATAAAGCAAAAACAAAATCATTCAACTGAACATGGAGTTATGAGTTGGACTAACCATGGCTAAAAAACCACAATACTCTTTTCTAAAGTGAGATATACTGCCATAAAATAACCAAGGCCGTTCTCACCCAAGGTTCAAGCACACGGAGGGACAAGGCTAAAAGCCCGTCAGTGTTTAAAGCTATGGAAAATGTTTCAGCAGAGAGTTAAATTGTTGGTTAGGTTTTTGTATTAGAAATGTAATAAAGATAATAATACAGATACCACAGTAAATCTGCTTATGCCTGTATGGAGTTGTAGCTACAGATGACATTATTATTTGGTAGAACTTCTTTCCTCAGCATCTCTCAGCTTAGCTCACTGTCCTGACACTCTTGTTGGGATGTGCTGGTTCCTTGGTTTGCATTTTCACTTAAGGCCAAGGCAAAAGCGGATCACAGGCTACCCTGGGCAGGAGCCTAGTGGGACTGAAGGAAGTTTTTACAACGAGAAAGTGAAGTATCCCTTGGATTTCAACCCAGAATAACTGAGGGAAAACACCCCTGCAAGTGTGCGGCAGTCAGAGCGAGGCTTCCCCCAGCATCCTGCCCATCTTGGGCTTTGCATTTTGTTTTACTTTATTTTGGTCAAGTCACTCTTTATAAGCAGTGCGGTCAGTAATCCACAATCCACAGAAAGCATGACTTCTAACTAGATCATCCGTATCCTTGAAGGTGTTAATCTCCCTCTTTTTGTCTCAAGTAGACTATGAAAATTGGTTTAATTATCTTTCACCATAAACCTCCACTGGTACAAGGCTTTACAGTATACGTCCTACGAGCAACCCAGAGAGATACATATTATTTATTATCCCAGTTTTCAAGGGAGAAAACTGAGCACAGAGAAGGTGAACGACTCAGGTAGCAAAGGGGAGAACGGCTGGCTGAGCTTCGTGTTCTCTGCACAGGGCTTGGCCGGCTCTCATTGCCCCGGGACTTTGAAACAAAGGAGTTATTTGAATGACAAAACCCATTATTTTCTGTGCACAGTATCTTCTTTCTGGTTTGTAAGGACTCCCAGAGCAGGTTACAGGATTTTATGATAGGGTTTCTTTATTTCTGGCAGTTTCTGTCTATATCTTGTGACATTTTTTTACGTCCTCGTCACTTCTGGAGAGAATTTAAAAGGTGTAAAGTGAGAAGCCTGGAGATTTTGGTTTCATAGCTACTAGAGAGTGTATTTTACCCACCAAAACAGAACTCAGATCTCAGATCTTTAATTCTATTGGAGGCATTCTAAATGTTGGATTTTGAAAATTAGCCTTAAAATAACTTCATTAATCTACGGTATATTCCTCAAATCCAGAAATAACTACATTTGTTTTCTCTGGAGTTCAATATTTTCTTTATTCACCTTCCTTTCATTTCCTCTGAGTTTTGAACTTTGAAACTCCCGAGAAATCTCCCTAATGTTCTTTAGTGCTTCCATTTTCTTATCTTGTAAATACAACTGATTTATGTGTTAGAATGTTAGGGCATCACTACAGAAGGGGGAAACAGTTGTGTAATTTTTTTTACATTAATTATCTGGCTTCATTAAAACATTAGATGTTTCCAGGGAGCCAAACTGCATCCTTTTAAGCCACAAACTAAAAAAACACAGCTACACCTTTTAACCATTTTATCTAGAAACATTTTTTTAAAAATGTTCTTCTAAAAAAACCAAACAACTTCTTATTCACTTAAAAAAAAGAAGAAGAAAGGAAACTTTAAAAAATGACTCCACTCTCATCGGTTCTCCCAGTTACTAAGCTGAGCTCTGACGGGATGGTGCGCTGAGGCCTGGGAGACTGGGCAGGTCGCCGGCCTCACACTAAAGGAGCCCCAGGACTCTGTGTGTTTAGTTTCTGTATTAATGCAGTTTTTTCAGAGAAATAGTACAGAGAGAGAGGGGCAGGGAGGGATGAAGGGGGTGAGAGAAAGAGACTGTTTGTTTGTTTGTTTGTTTGTTTGTTTGTTTGTTTTAAGGAATCAATTCAGGTAATTGCAGAGGTGTGACAAGTCCAAAATCTGCAGGGCAGGCTGGCAGGCGGTAGACCCAGGGAAGAGTTACAGTTCAAGTCCAAAGGCAGTCTGTATTATAGAGTCGTACACCTGAAACCTATATAATTTTATTAACCAATGTCACCCCAATCAGTTCAATAAAAAGGAAAAAAGGCAGTCTGCTAGCAGAATTCCCCCTGCGTCCTGGGAGGTCAGGCTTTTTCTAGTAAAGCTGAGTGGATGAGGCCAGCCACGTCAGAGAGGATGATGTGCTTTATTGAGTCTACCGACTTAAAGGTTAATCTCATCTAAAAAGGCCTTCAAAGAAATGTTTGAAATCTAGAATAATGTTTGACCATATATCTGGGTACTAAGACCCATAATTTTCATAATCTTAAATTGACCTTTATGGTCAAGCTATCGTTTGACATTTCTTGCAGCTGAAAATGTAAATTTTCTGAACACCACATTCCACATCTTCCAGTTTGTTGTGTTGTGTGCTCAGAAGCCAGAATATCCAGTTTACGTAAATACCTTTTAACGAAAGAGACAGCATAAAGGTGAAAGGAGCTCCCTCTCCAGAGAAAGTGCAGGAGTTTTAGTAAATAAATGTTATGTCATTTTTCACTCCTCCCTGTTTCTCTGACTGATGCTTCTCAGTTGTGGCTGAGCTAGCAAGATTTGTGATTCCCAGCTAAATCTTTCTAAAAACATCTAAAGGTGATGCTGTGCCAGCACCACAGTAAACAACATCAGAGGACTGCTTGTTTGGGGTTCTACTGATTAATATTGTCTGATTTTTTTTTTTTCTTTTTCAATTCAGTGTGTTAGCAGTGCAGTTAGAGCCTACACGGATCATGGAGTCTTGCCAATGTTGTTACAAGGTTATTTCCAAGAAAGACTGGAGGTTTTTGGTTTGGTTTGGTTCAACAACTTTTACTTTGTTTAGTTAGGATCTTAAAGGCTTCAAGCTTCCAAGTGCATGGAGGTTAGGACCAAGCTTTAAAAGGGGAACCCAGAGGGGAGACACCCCTTGTTGGTCACCCAAATTACTGAAGCAACCTCCATGATTTGAAACTCAACCTGTTTTTCGCAAATGCCCCATCTCCCGCTTTGAGAAGCCCCTCGAGGACTTCTCATCATAGACTCGAAGGAAACTGGTACAGCTAACCCGAGAGTGTTGGGGTTAGGGCTCAATGCCTATTGCAGGAAATGTTTGGAAGGCACATTGTGCACAACCGAATCGCCGTTACGGGACAGCACACTTTGTATTCCATATTCACGCACTGTTTGGCTCTTTCTGTAGACGGAGTGATCAACCTGAGCATTCCCATTGTACTGCCCGTCTCTGCGGATGATAAGACGCGGCTGGAAGGGTGCAGCAAGTTTGTCCTGACCCACGGTGGACGGAGGGTGGCTATCTTACAAGATCCTGAATTCTACGAACATAGAAAAGAGGAGCGTTGCTCCCGTGTGTGGGGGACAATGTGTGCGAAACATCCTCATATCAAAGTAAGTTGCCAAACCTTTGGAAAAATTTCCTTGATCTCTTTCAACTTGGGACAAAAATAGTTCTTTTTAATTCCTTCATGAAGGACTTAGAAAAACTGGGGTTAGATGGAAGAACACATTTCTAAGGGAGGTTTTGCAGGCTTTGCTTTAGAAATCTTTTTAGAAAGGGGCAAAAAAATGTCTTTATGTTGAGGGCTGGTCTAAATGATCTCTTGTGTCCTTGGATTCAGTGATGTGTGGCTCTCTCAGCTGAATGGGAAGCAACTGTGCCGGGCAGGTAGTTTAGTTTAGCATCATGAATAACTGTGCCTGTGCAGGAAACCACAGCCAGGCCTTGCAGGCCTGTCTGTCTTGAAAATTCACAAGGGAAGTCAATTTCTTCATACAGAAGGGTTCCAACCAACCATGAGAAAGAGACTCAAAGTTCATGTTCTGTGGCCAGGGCAGGGGTCAGTGACATCCTTTCAGTAAACAAAAATCGGTACAGATATTGGCAGAGTTTCCAGAGGGAAAATACCACATTTTCATTAGTGGATAGTTTTTAGACTGAAAACTGTATTCATCTGATTAGGATCATTTCAAGTCTGTCCTGCCTAAAGGCAAAATAGACTAAAACTCCTCAGATTCCATCACAATTTCTAATTGTTTTTAGTGGCAGGGTGGGAGTGGAAGGTATTATGGAATTGCTGGAGGTGGTTCATTTCCCATAAAGAAAAATATGTGAAATTGATTCCAGAAATGATTCCTCATCTGAGATTAAAGCATTAGGGTTGAAATTTAAAAAGACATATACTTCTAATTTGACTTGTCAAATTCCCTAGCTGTGGTCACTCATTTTCAGAAAGTTCACAGGAAGAGGCCAATTTGAGGTCCAGGAGACTCTCAAAAGCACATCTTCTCTGAGGGCCTCAGTTTCTTCATTTATAAAAGGAGGGGTCCAGACTCAAAATAACTCCAAGATCTCTTTCAGCCCTGAGACCCTGTAAAATGGATGTTTAAATAAACCTGTCAGAATCTGGTTCCCCAGTTGAAAAAAATAAATGTTGCAAGAGAGCAGCAGCCTTTTTAAAGCTGCTGCTGGCAGCCCCTGATAACAAGAGGTCAGTTGGCCGCAAAGCGGCTTCTCATTTATTGGACCCAACTCTCCACCCTGCAGATAAGCATCTCTAATCTTAACGCATGTCCAGCTCAAAGCCATCTGAACCATCGCTCTTCCAGAGGTTGGCAGACTGTCCTGGAAATGGCTGGACACTAAGTGCTATTTGAGGAATTGTGTTCTGGGCCTTAATTTATGCCTGTTTCATTCCTTCCCTGATTATAATCCTACATAGGTTTGTGGTTTCATCTTCACTTAGTGACCTAAGGAATGGTTGCCTGTCACCATGCCCACTGAGATAGTTCCACTGTATGGGCCTGACATCCACCAACCAAACAGAACCTAAGGACACTCTTCAGCAATTGTTTCTTTTCATCTTGTCTTGTCATATGGGCTGGCAGTTGGCGCTCAGAATTTCTGAGAAGCCAGGGAGAGCGGTCATGTGATTGTGGCCTTGAAAATAGAGTCAGTGACTTTGTACCATGAGGTTATTAGGGGGACCCTGTAAACATTCCCAGTGTGCTGTCTGGTTGTGAGAAATGGTCCATGGGTAACCAGAGAGAGAAAGCCACTCCCCCTGTACACACTACACTTGACGTGAGGCAGGTGAGTTTACCACACTCACAACATATGGGTTTTATTGGGAAAGAAACTGCATTTTTTTTTTAATACCTTGAAATTCACATAATGCTTAAATATCTTTCTTTTTTGAGAACCCCAAACCTTCCAAAAGTAGTTTCTTCCCAAAGTAATCATAGGCCTTCTTGTATTTCCACATGGCACTGGGAATGATTTTTCCATGGAAAAATGGTCAGTCATTAGGGAAATGGTCTGCCCCGGTTGCATTGCTCCCCATGGAAGTCACCTTGGCCTTCCATCCAAGTCATCCAGACCCTCTCTCAGGTCACTAAGATGGAACCATGTGACATGGTGGCAGATGAAAGCATGAAGAGGAGCAGGTTAAACTTACTAAAATAATGCTCAGAGGAGACCTGTTGCCTTTCATCCATGGCTCTCAAAGCTTTTCCAAACTGATTATTTCTCACAACACTCTTGTGAAGTAGCTAAGAATCATTACTCCTATTTTACAGATGTAGAAACCAAGAGAACAGGGTATGACTTCCCCTTAACTCTGCAGTGAAGACCGTATGGTCACTTTCATCAACAGAGTCACCTGGGGAGCTTTAACAATCACCCATCACTGGATCCTGCCCTCACAGATTTTAATTGCCTTGGGGTCAGTTCTGGGTGTTGGGGGTTAAAGTTCCCTGTGATTCTATCATACTGTGAAGGCCAAGAACCAGCACATTAGATACCTATCCGGAGCTCTGTCCTGTACGGCTCCTCCTGGCCGTGTCCTCCAAGCACCTCACACTGCACATGTGCACCCTCTTCCCAAACCTGATTCTTTTCCTGTGTCCCCCAGCTCAGTGAGCAGCTCCGCCACCCCAGTGTTGGCCACGTCCCACACCTGGATGTCATTCTTACCTCTGTCTTCTCCCTTGTTCATTCAGCCACCAATCTGGATGTCTCTGCCTCTTGTGTTGCTTGAATTTGTCCACTTCTCTTCCGTTTCAGCTTGTGCCAGGACATTTCATTTCTTCCCTGTCTCTTGCCTTTCTCCTCTCTGATCCTTTCTCCATCTTTTGGCTAGCGTGAACGACTGAAGCTTTATTTGGGAATTCTTTGTAAAGATATGACTTCATACGACCCCTTACCACCAACACTCAACATAGTCTCTCCTCCTGCATTCTCGCCACTCATCGTCCTCTCTCTTACTTTTGCACATGCTAGTCCCTCAAGCTAGGACACTGTTCCTTCACCCCTGCCTCCTCACCTTATTTGTTACTCCTTTCCCCTTTAAGAAGTTGGTCTTACTCCCATGACCTATGAGCCTGACTGGGTGTCCCTTCTTTGTCCTCCCAGAGTACTTTGCCTTTGTCCACACCTGTCCCACAGTATTTACTCTTCTGTCAGCCCACTCAGACTGCCAAACCATGAGATCAAGGACCACATCTTGATCTGTCTTGTTCACCATCAAATCCCCACCAGCAAGCCCAGGGCCTGGCACATAGTAATTGCTGCCTGTATGGAGGATGAACGGAAGATGCCTCTGAAGGTCACACTGAATATCAGCATGGAGACCACTGATGAGGGGCAGTGGGTGCAGTGGGAAGAGAGCGTTGTTTGAAGGAGTCAACTGTTTGCACTTGAACTCTGCCATTTCCCTCTGTAAAACTGCCTTCTCCTCCGAAAGTGAGGGCATTAATTCCACAAGTTCCTTGCAGCGCCGAATTCCATGACTAAGATAGGTATCGCAGAAAAGAATATATATTCTCCACTTATATCACGTTACTCTTTCTTCTCAATTCTGTTTTCCGAACACTGTCATCATGACCTTCTTTTCTTGAACTCACCACTTCTTCCCTTCCTTTTGCTTTTTTCCTCTCCTCTCCCCGTTTCATGCTGACCTCTGCACCTTCCTGACCTCAGCTGCTCCTCTCTGATTTGCATGTTCCCTCTTCTCCTCCAGGTTGTCCCGTTCAAGTCTTCCTCTCCTTACCCTCTCTGAGCACATTCACCCCTTCACAGCCTTCCTCCTACTGTTTGAAGTCACCCTCTCCTCCTTTTTGCGTTCATGCTGTCTGTGATTCCGAGCCCAATTCCCCCTTCACTGCCTCGCTAGCCTCCCTGAAAGCCTGTTCCTCATTTCCCTGTGTGTGTACAGTTCTGCAAACTCTCTAGCTGGTTGTGGTTCCTGTCTGTCTTTTGCAGGAGGTGGGACTTCTAGGAAATAAGGCAGAAGCACAGTTTTGTGGACCGTTGAATCACTTTGGGGAGAGAGATGACCTTGATACCTCTCCATTAAAACCAAAAACATAGTTTCAGCATTGCTTTTCAAACAGGCACACTTTAGGCTAGGTAGTGAACAAAATTGCTTCAATGTTGCCTTACACACAGAACCAGTATAGGGTGGACCCCTCGTGTCCAGAATGAGTTACTACACTCTCAGGGATTTGGAGTCTTAGAATTTTCACAAGTTTATCTGTAGTCTAACCTAAGCAATGAGGAGAAAGTAAATGCATAGGCATAGCTATTTGAAAATCTTCTTGTTCAGTGATTTTTCTGAGCACCGAGTTTTGAAAGGGGCCATGAAAACATAACCAAATCCTTCATACAATCACCTTCTCTCCACCCAGGGCTTCTCAGCCACAGTGCTATTGACATTTGGGCCGGACAACTCCTCGTTGTGGGAGGGGCTATCCTGTGCAATGTAGGATATTGAGTGGCACCCCTGGCCTCTACACACGAGATGCCAACCCTCCCCACCCACTGTTGAGAACTGTGGCTCTATTCTCATCCATATTCCCTGAACCCTTGTGGAAGGCAAGTCATTGTAAACCCAACATCCGGCCATGACAGGAAGTGTGAACCAGAGGTACTCCATCACCACCTTGGTGTCTTCTGACCACTGTTTGCAATCAAATCAGCTCTCTCCTCACTCTTGCCTCCCTCCCCTCTGGTGACATTTCAGATGGCCACATCGTCCTTGTGGAGGGCAAAAGGCAGTTATGGAATCTGATCAGACAAAGGGTTGTTAAGACCATTATTTGAGGAATAAGATTCTCTTTTGTCTTAATGCTTGAGTATGGACACTTGCTCTGAGTTGTAATTCATTGTACTGCAACATACTTGTTTATAGAAAAAACAAAGGTTGTCATGGTTTTTTTGTGTGAGTTTATTGAGATGTAATTGACATAATACATTGTGTAAGCTTAGACTGTAGAGGTAAAAACCATGCTTCGATGCCACAAGGTAGGTGGCAATGCCTTAACTGTGTGTTGTCAGGCCCGAGGGCTCGTTCCAGCCCCGCAAGGAGAGTGCTGACCCCCTCTCCTTTCATCCAGTGCGATCACGGATTTCTTTTTCCTTACTTTGCCCACTCCTCACACCTCGTATTTGTGGGTCCCACAGTAGAAATACAAACGGAAGCCCACATATTATCTTTAAAGGTTACATATCTAACTAATAAACTTAAATAAAAATTTTTTTTATCTTTCTACTTTGACAACTATGTTTTGGTAACAATCTGGAAGGTCAGATTTAGGCATTTTGGTTCCGCAGCAGAACACGGTGGTGTGGAAAGTTGGCTCCTGGCTGGCACACCACCCGTCCGTCCCTTTCTGTGCGTGGCCTTGACCCATTTCAGGAAGGCACTCTGGGTCTGTTTTGCTTCTCAGCTTTAATTTATAACATGGAAAATGATACCTATAAGCTGCATAAACAAAAGCTCTTTGATGGTTCTCAATAAATTTTAAGAGTATAAAGGGGTTGAGAGACCAAAAAGTTTGATAAATACCCTGCTAGAAATGCTGAAGAACTCAAGGCAGCTTTTCAACAGTAACCCAAGACTGGTCCAGAAAGAGAAAATTTTTCAGATAAACAGAAATCAGCATTTACTAATTTTAATAATTGTTTTTCTAGATGGTGATGGAAAGTGGGGATTGGCTGGTTGGCGGAGACCTTCAAGTGCTGGAGAGAATAAGGTGGAATGATGGGCTGGACCAGTATCGCCTGACACCTCTGGAGCTCAAACAGAAATTTAAGGAAATGAATGCTGGTATGTAGGCTGGCTCTGACGCATTTGTTACTACTGCTTCCCACCCTCTGGTTATAGAATTAAGGATATCAGGAACAGCATGTTTATGGTATTAAAAAGATGGAAACATCTATCAAAATGTCTGTTGATACAGAAACAGCTTATAAAGTTGAATCACATCCATACACTGGAATACTATCCAGCAGTTAAAAAACATGCACCAACACAGAAAGATACCGAGTATATTTATCAAGTGAAAAAGCAACTTGAAGAACCATATGTATAATGTAATTTTGGAAAACAAAGTAACTTTTTAAAATGCTGCGCTATTTCTGTGTCTAGAAGCAGGAGCATCTCCTGCAGCAGCTGCCACTTGAGGGTAGAGCTGGGCCCAGGGGAGGGGAAGATTCTCACTTCACGTATTTTGAAAAAGAGAGAAAAAAATGATAGGATTATGGATGGTTTTTATATTCTAGTTTGGACTTTTCTGTATTTTCCAAGTTTTCATAATGGCTATATATTATTTTGTAACCAGGAAGAAAAATTAAGACTCTCAGGTATCCATCACTAAGTGGAGTAGGTTTTTTCCTTTTTTCTTTTTCTTTTCTAAATTGATTTGAGAGAGAGAGAGAGAGGAAGGGCAAAAGAGGAACACCTCTATTTTGTTGTTCTTATATGTGCCCTGACCAGGGATCAAACCCGCAGCCTTGGCAAATTGGTATGATGCTCTAACCAACTGAGCTACGAGACCAGGGCCCTAAGTAGTTTTGAAGATGAAATAAATTTTTTATCTCTGGATTGGTGAGACCTTGCAGAGGCCCCAGAAAATGTCCCTCATCGTTATTCACCCCCTGGGGGAGGGAGACTGGAACAGGGGCCAAGAGGATGAAGGTGGGTGTGTACCTGCCTGAGCCTTGGTTTGCAGGGAAGATACTGGCAACAAATGTTTTCATTTCTGAATCAGGCTCTCCCTCTTGGGGCTCCCTGCTTCTGAGTCCTGTGTAAGCAGCCTGGCATTGGCTGGCACGTTTGGAGTGACAGCCCTAAAGATCCACCAGGTGGATTCTCCAGCTGATAATAAAATCAAGTGGCTATAATGAACGCACTGAACAATAAATACAGCTTCACCTTTCCTTTCGGTTCCTGAAGACAAACGATACTGCATCTCTGACCTTGGCTTTTATGTTTCCCTTGCCCAGATGTGGTGTTTGCCTTCCAGCTGCGCAACCCTGTGCACAATGGCCACGCTCTGCTGATGCAGGACACCCGTCGCCGGCTCCTGGAGCGGGGCTACAAGAACCCGGTCCTTCTGCTCCACCCTCTGGGTGGCTGGACCAAGGATGACGACGTGCCCCTGGACTGGCGGATGAAGCAGCATGCAGCTGTGCTGGAGGAAGGGGTCCTGGACCCCAAGTCAACCATTGTTGCCATCTTCCCATCTCCCATGTTGTATGCTGGCCCCACAGAGGTGAGCAGTTCCCTGAGCTGGGCTATGGGACTCAAAAGCGCAGGCTCCAATTATACTTACGAGATCAAAGGAGTCTTTGGGCTCCTTCCTCATCATGAGCAGATTCTGAAATCTTCTGTTCTCTCTTCTTTATCCAATTTAATTATGTTTCCACTTAGCGCTTATAAAAGTGCTAGAAACATCAAATCAAGTCTGCTATACACTGCCTCTGAGAATACAGAAGGTGCATGTAAATGAGGTGGATAATGCAAGTTAACTGGTTTACAATGCAAGTGGTGTCTAACCTAATATTCAATGTCCAAAGTTCCAGCGACTCTAAGTGATTCTCCATGCTCTGTGAGCTGCATTATAAGCTCATGGAGAGTATGCCTTTAAAAGCTTAGTATCTTCCTTTCAATCACGCAGCAAGCCTATCAGTCAGAGACCTTCTTTGTCGCACCGTACCACGGGTGTAGTGGATTTGAACACGTTTGTGGGAAGTATGATGAATAGAAAGGGTCTCAGCCCTTTGGAATGCGCCAAACTGAGTTTAACAAATTAATTCTCTTCAACCAGATCAAAGCTTCAGGCCTCCTCGCTCTCCTCTCCATCCTCTGTATTTCTATCTAAGGACCATTCATTTTGAAACTCCATTGCTGTGTTGAACTAGAGTCATTATCTGCATATGAAATGCAATTAGCTCATTCTTGGCAGTCAGATAAGAGAGAGTGAAGTTTGTAATTTCCTTTAAACTGTGATTTATTCTTAATAGAGAGAGACAGGCAGGTAAAATTCACAGTTCTGTAGAACAGTAAGATCGGAGTTTTCCTGGTCTGCTAGCCTGTTTGGAGAGATTAGGAAATGTAATCTCAGGTTCTAACAGGGGGTATTCTGACCTTTGAAGCTCCCGTCCTACCCAACGTAACCAAGCAGGTGAAGAGAGCTTTGAGCCTTTAGACACCTCATTGAGTTTCTTGGAATTATTTCTGAATTTATTACATTACTGAATTACTTTTAAGGCGGAATAAAGGTATAAACAGGGACCCCCAGACCTGGCCAGTGATGACCAGCATGTCCCTTATGTAATGTTTCCTAGGTCCAGTGGCACTGCAGGTCCCGAATGATCGCTGGGGCCAATTTCTACATTGTGGGCCGGGACCCTGCAGGAATGCCGCACCCTGAGACCAAGAAAGACCTGTATGAAGCCACTCACGGGGGCAAGGTCCTGAGCATGGCCCCTGGCCTCACCTCTGTGGAAATCATTCCGTTCCGGGTGGCTGCCTACAACAAAGTCAAAAAGGCAATGGACTTCTACGATCCAGAAAGGTAGGTATTCAAAGGAAGATTCTGTAGTCCACATCTGTACAACTGGAATGTTGAAGCAAAATTTTGGCCCTTTGGAAGACTCCAGTGCACCTCTACATGCTCCTAATGCTCCTACCTGGAGTGGGCATGCCTTGAAGGCCAAGACCTGGTCTTACATATTTTGTGTTCCCTAAAGTTGTAGCACAGCCCATGAATAGAGTAGATGGTCCATAAATATTTCTTTTTTACCATACATTTCTTGAGCGCCAGGACTGTGTGCCTGGCACATTAAGTGAAAGGAAGTCCATGCAGAAAAAGACTTTAATGAGCGTCAGGGCGTACTCACCATGCTCAGAGCTCAGAGAAGTGGGCCGAGCAACAGGAGACACTTCCCACGAGCAGATAAAGAGGAAATAGTGAATGCACAGCTGCCATTATTTCCCCTTCTTCTGCAACTTCCCTAACTAAGCTGAAGATTTAGCAACTTTCCACTTTAGAAGATGCAGCACTTTACAGAAGGAGAAAATGTGGTCTTAGAACCCATAACATAATCCAGGAACCTTTACGGAAGATGTTATTTACCTACACGGAGTTCTCTGTTCCCACCCTGTGACAGGCACAGCGAGTTTGACTTCATCTCAGGAACCCGTATGAGGAAGCTGGCCCGGGAAGGAGAGAACCCCCCAGATGGCTTCATGGCCCCCAAAGCATGGAAGGTCCTGACAGATTATTACAGGTCCCTGGAGAAGAGCAGCTAAATGCCCCAGAGTTTCTTTCTCACGTGCTTTTTGGTTCCCTCTTCTATTTTTGTGATCAGATGCTTTCACATCCAATTGCTTCTCAATAACTGATTTTAGTGTTTTATAATGAGGTAAAAATTATTTAAAATTTAAAGTCAACGTCAATATATATATAGGAAAATGTCAAACCGAAGACCAAATCTTAGCAGGTAAAAGCAATATTGTTATCACTTTAGAATGAAATTATTTGTATTGTCTACTGCACCTGAGCAGGTAGGCCCCAGATTTTGTAAAGTTCTGACCATGTGTCTCATTTACTTGCTAGGAAGTAAAGCATATTTTCCAGGTTAAGTTTTGCCAACCTACACTCTCCCAATGTCACATACCAGTAAAAAAATAAATCATTAGAGCAACCTCTTCTATACAAATGACAAAAAAAATTTCTCATCCCGAATGAGGTGTGGCTCATGTCAAGATTCTTCCTAATATTTCACCTCATGCTCTGTCCAGTCTTACTGCTCAGGTCTCTTATATGCTGAAGGATGACCTGAGTGGAGAAACCAAATGTGTGACAATGTGAATGTAATCTCAGAGATCTGTGCAACCTACTTATGGCACTGAAGTTACATTATCTAATAAGGGAAGTCTTATTGCACTTCTGTGAATAATATAACTCCAGTTAAACAGTGCCTTTTCATTAAATAGCATAGAGTGCTTTGATGAAAGATTTCCACCCAGGACCATCTGGCAATATTGTGGAAAGTGACTTTTTCTCCTCTTTGCTGTGGTCATTGTGTCCTGTGAAGAAGCTGTGCCTATAGACTGCAGCGGCATCAGCTGTAACCAAAAACCATTCACACCACCAGACTCGTGAGCTGCTAGAACTGGGAAAGATCGCAGAAAACACCAAATCCAACCCCTTCACCTTACAGGTGACCAGACTAAGACAATGTACAAGCATATGTTTGTGAGCTACTGAGTGCTGCAGCAAAACCCAAAACTGGCATTGTTGGGAAATGCTGGTGGCATTGACCAGGCCACGTGACTCTGTCTGGACCTCCATCTGCTAGTACAACCCAAAAGCCAGGTCTGACTTGCCTCAGCTGCTTACTGAAGCTCCGTGAATAGAGGGCACTTACGCAGCAGCCTTCTTGGGTGCTGAAAGGCCCAGAGTTTTAAATCCAGCTGATTTTATTAGGGGGAAAAGAAATTTCTTTTTTCAAAGACTTACTGCTGTTCTGAGACATCTAACCTCAATGACTTTACCTCCTGGGAGGCAATTTTTGTACTTTATGCATAATTCCTGGTGCTAAGGGATATTTGAAGAAACAGTACCTTATATACATAGGTCTCTCTGGAAGAGACTTAAACTGGGAAGAGAAAACTGTGATTTTTTAAAAACATTGTTTTTTAAAAATGCTAATCTTAGCTAATGAAGGTTCTTTTAAGAATAATATACAATGGCCACAGCAAAAGTGTAACTCTTTAATAATAGAGTGCCTATATTCATTTCATCAGAGGTACTCACAACTGCCTTTAAAAAAAAAGTGTATTTATTGAAAACATGAGACAACCAGTAGTGCCTTAACCCATGTATTTTGTGATTTTTAAAAATATTTAAAACTGCCCTTCTGCCCTAGTGCCACACAGTGCAAATGACTAGTGGTATGTATAACTGATGCTTATTCTTAGTTTAATAAATTTCTCAGAATGAAAGCTGAGTCTTTTCTGCCTATAACAGAGTGTGGGTTGACCACATGACCGTTGAGAGCTTTGTGACTTCATATAATCGGAAACAGCAGTGACTCTGTTTCAGACTATAATTACTGGGCTGTTGACCTTACCCATGTCTTTAGCAACTGCTCTAGCTGTGAGTGACACAGCACTACAGTAGTATTTTCAGAGGTTGACTGGGTTCCTCAGGGACCTCCCCCCACGATTGCACTGCATGAAGATCTGAATTTTTTTTTTTTCCTAACTTGCTCCCTTTTTCCCAAAGTGTCATCAAAGAGTACTTACTACCAGCAGGGTTGGAAGCAGTTGTTTTTTTTTTTTTTCACAGTAACCCACATCTTCACTAACCTCAGCAGCTGCTACTTTTGTATGCAGAAAGGATGCCTGTTTCCACCCATTGTTTCAGTGACCTTCCGAAAAGCGTGCATTTTGGTTTTCTTCCTCCTTGAGTCCCCTCCTCTCTGTCCTGAGGCTGAATGAAGATGACTGCTGGCAGCCCTCACTCCACACAAGACTGGTGTGAGCGCCAACTCAAAGCTACCACTTGTTGCCCCTCCCTCCTTCTCCCCAGATCCTTACTTGCTGGATCCTAGTGACGATGAGAGGCCAGAGTAGGGCAGGGGACTATGTAAGTCCGGGAAGATGTAAGTGGTGCTGAGGGGGTATGCCCAACTCGACAGGGCAGTGAGAGAAGATCCTGGAAAGGCATCTATGTAAATCCTTCGGTCAGATAATGGTGCACTTATAAACACATCAACACTGTATAAGGCCACGAGATTTCTTTCCAACCCACAGTCCCTGCAAGAAGAAACACTCTTGGCTACTTGAGAACAGCAAAGTTTGTTTTTTCCTCATCTTCCTCCTTTCTGTTATTACCTGACTTTTAGGTCAAGCACTGGCAGGTTATCAGGAAATCAGATGGTCACTAGATCGATCAACTATTCTTATATCTAAAGAAGCGATTTTCAACCTTTTCTATCTCATGCACACATAAACTATTTACTAAAATTATACAGCACCCCCCAAAATATATTTTTTGCCAATCTGACAAAAAAAAAAGGTATTTTTGATTCACTCCCAGCAGATGGCTATTGTGTTTCCTGTTGTCATTTTTTAACTTGACAAGCTAAGGGAAGACGTCAGTGCCCCTGACCAGTCAGGTATTGCATGTTTTAAAAATTATTGCGCCACACTGGTTAAAAATCGCTGCTCTAAAGGTTTGATGAAACAACAGCACAGCTTTAGCCTATGAGATTTTCAATGATACAGGTTTCTATTATTTAAGCATATCCCCATTACCAAAAATGCGTAAGTTATCAAAATTGACTGTATAGATATTGAAAGAGTAACCTCTTATTTTTTTTCTTCCCCTTAGCATGCATTTAATTCCTTGGTCAATACTAACTATTATGTACTGGACCATTCATAATACACATAGACCAAATAATGAAAAGTGATACACAACCAAATCACTAATATACACTCCAAAGAGCTACCTAATTTTTTTTGTTTATATTGTAATTGTATTGAAATTATTACTAAAAATAAATAGGTCGCTAGCTAGAGTTTAGACATTTTAGTTTGACACAGAAAAACCAAGACAAAATCAAATAATGCTTTTCCACGGGGCTAGCGAAGAATAATGGCGGAAGGAAGTCTTGAACTAAGGAAGAAGCCTTTCGTAGGTGAGCCCTGGTAGTTGTTCAGTGGCTTATCTTTTGTAAGTGAGGTGGCTTCCCCTATTCCCCCCTAGCTACCCTTATTCCCCCTCCCACCACCCAAGCCTATTACCCTTTCCATAGACCTCCTAATTTGAATTAATTGCAGGGAAAGCCAGTCTCAATTAGTAAGACATCTAAATTATAAAATGTTTTAAAAAGTAGTTTTATTACCTTCAAAAATATAAGCAACTAACTGATGGGCACTGCTCTTTTAATGTTATAGTATGTATTTGTAATTGCTGGTGTCAATAATACACACTTTATTTGGTACATTTCTTAAATATGGTTGATTTGTTTCAGAATTTAAACTTGCTCTGCACCTATTTTACTAAAATAATGTGAAAGTTCTTATAAACTGCAGTCTATTATAAGAACTTATGGGTGAAGAAAGATCTTGATTTATCCTTATTGCATAACCCTGCTTTCCATAAATAGTTGAAAGGTAAAGTTCAGCTTAGCACGGGTTGAAATAATGGACTATTTCCATGTAAACAACTCCAATAGTGATCTGATATTTTAAATTAGTTAAAAGATTGGCTTAAGTATATTCACCAAGAACCTACATTTATGAAAGGAATTAATTCCATCAACCATTACAGAGGTAAATTATATCCCCCATCCTATCCTCAAATCATAAAAAATAATTATGAAAGTACCAGATCTTTGGATATTCAAGGTTAATACCAAAGAAAAACTTACAGCTCCAACAGAGCAAAAGAAATAAATGAGTTTAATAAACAGAAACCCCAGGTCCATGGAATATCTATGACTTATCTACCTAATGGCATGTTTCATAATTTGCACTATTAAAACAAGTCTATTTACCAAGGCTGACAACCATCAGTAGCTAAGGAAGCCATCCAGTTTAAAAGTCCTGATGATCAGGTCAGTACTGCTAAGGGCCCTACATCTGCCTATCAATATGACTAGTGTGCTGTTTAGTGAAAAGCACATCTATTTCAGCATTTCCATTACTGCATAGATAAAGAAACAGAGCCCAGAATCAAAGATGACTTGTGTAAGGACATGATAACCTATAGCCTTATTATTCACTTCCTAGCTTCCAAAACCCTTTCATATGATTCTTAAAACAATCCCAGAAGGTACGGATTATGATTCCTATTTACAGATAAGGGAACAGGTGTCCACAGAAGGAATTTTGCCTAAGGCCACACTACCATGTATACTAAAAGTCCACAGCTGGGGTTGAAACCTAGACAGCTGAAAATGAACTTTAGAAGACATAATGAATACCCAAACAATTTCTTCTGCTAGAATGTAGAAGAGTGTGAAAAACCTTCACTCCCAGAGTAATAAGAAAAATCCGGAAAAAAATAAAAAGAGTGCTTTTCTATGAGGTTAGCAAGGAACAGTGGATGCAAAGAATTCTTCACCAACTTCCTTCCAGGGAGAAATAAGCCCTTCAGAGGTGAGCAGAGAACCTTGGTACTTGCTTATATCAGGGTAGACTCCTAAGTCTGGATGTAGCACTTGGAAGAACAGGCCTGACTAGAAGGAGAGACTTCAACAGGGATGAGAATTCAGCCAACACTCAGACAACAGAGACTGAAACCTGGAAACATTCAAAAACAAGCTGCCAGGCTAGACAATCCCCCGTCCCTGCATTTTGCAGAGAAAATGACAGAAGAGGGGCTGGAAGTCTTGTGCATTCTTACGACGACTGGATGCCAGAAACCTGTCATAACTGAACAAAAAGAACCACAAACGTATACCCCTGCAACCCAAATTCCTCCCAGCTCAAACACTGCTAAGATCAAAAGGCACCTGCATGTGAGGATAGGGGTTGGAGTATGCCCAGTCACCTCAACCTTGTTAAACCTACAGCCCAGAGCCAGCCTAACTGGACTGTAGGGGGAAGTGGAATAATCAGCCCTTCACTCTGCTTATTAGAGGAAAGGAGTTACATTCCCTGGAAATAAAACAAAAACCAATGTTATGCTTCCATCTCCACTGTTCTTTTTTATACCCACTACCTGGAACCGTATTTATTACAAGTTAAAAATTGATCACCTAGCTAAAGAGCTGGGCATGCCCAACAGCACACCATCATTAAGAGCTCATGGGATGGGGTCAAGCTGTCCCTGAAGCTGTCCACACAAACTGTGTGCACTGCTCACTCTTCCAGCGTGCGCACTTGAGTTACAATACTGTCCTTCATTTAGCATACGCTTATGGCTCCATGTGACCAGCTGGTCGTTTGTCATTTTTTGTGTGTCCAGCCACCTTCCCCACAACACTCAAGTTTCCTTTGGGTGAAAGTATGGCTCTCCTTTGGCATTTAGTGTTGATGAGTCACTAAATCCAGATACTTGCTCTCAAACCCTTTAAGCCAAGTTCATGGAGGGCCATTCCCCCAAAGCTCCAGGACTGCCGGGGGTGATTTCCGACCTGGGTTTACATGCTGACTTCCAGGATTTTGAATCTTGAATGGCTAATTTAAAGATGAACAGTTGGGAGTTCATTTAATCCAGTGCAGAAATAAAAGCAAGATTCTTACGCAATTTCTGATTTTAAAAAAAACAGAAACCTTTTAGAATTTTCTGAGTTTCCAGCCTAAACCCAGTTCTTTAGCTTTCCTTTGATCTTATGAGCTCCCAACAGTCTTCAAATAAATGCTTTATTGCTCAGGTCAGCTGGAGGTGCCTGCTTGCAACAGAACCCTCACTGGTGCTCTTTACAACACTACGGCCCAGCAGACAAAGCTCATTTCCCTCAGACATGTCTGTAAAAGACTCTGTTACACTGGGTAATGTAGTATCATCCTCTATTTGAGTACCTTTATTATTCTTGGAATTTCTGGAAGCTAATGAGGCACTGTCGTATTTCAAAGCACAAAAACTTATATTTAAAAGTATTCCCAAGCAGATTTATAACTATAAATGTTAGACAATCAAAAAAAAATATACTCCCAGTTCAGCCTTTGAGTAATGAGGGCTTTATAGGCTGTTAAAGTTATAGTAGTGTAAATTTTACACCAGTGTATTGAGAATACTTTGCTTTTGCACTCACTGCTAAATGGTTTCTTTTAGGTTTGATCTTATTTGCATCTGTACATGTAAGGAGAGCTTTAACTTTTGAGACAATATGGGAACTCTGTCTTTGATGACTAAATCAACAACATATTTAATAATGAAGGCACTCAAGATTTCTGTCAGCTCTAAATGGAATGATTCAATGGCTTTATTTGAGGTTTCTAGTTAGTGCTAAAGGTTTCAGTCATGCAAGATATATGCTCAGCATATCAGAATATTCAGTATTCTGATAGTGACCTTAAGAGAAACTAAAAAAGAGTATCCTAAAATATACACCATCTGACTTATTTTCTTTATCCAAAAGAACACTCCACCATTTGTGCACAAACAACACAAATGCAGCAAAACAAAACAAAAAAACAAAACCTTTGCCAATGAGGTACCTGCCATATTTATACAGGTATACTCAAGGCTTGAGGCAGCCTCGCCTAACACCAAACCTAGGAGCAGTTATAGCTACTAACATGAGGCTATTATAGTCCACATAGAGCATTTAGATTATACCAGCCCCACGCTTGATAACATGGTGAATTCTGGGTCACCCTGCAGGTTTGTGTGTTTGAGGGCGGAAGGGGTTTGAATGAGATAGAAAGGAGAGAAGTCATAAAGGAGATACTGAATTGATTCAGGTATT